ACTGGCAGGTGGCATGGATGAGCACTGATGTACACTGACAGGTGGCACTGCTGGGGCTACACAGATCATCAGGGCACACTGATCATCAGTGCTCTGATGATCAGTGTACATGTCACCTCCGAGGAATGCAATTACTGGCTCTCCTCTGTCAGCGTGACAGCTCGTGGGGAGAGAAATGGCGATAACCGGCATTTCCCTGTTTACATGTGATCAGCTGTGATTGGGCACAGCTGATCACATGACCGAGCCGACATCTTCGGCTCTTTCCGTGGATCGGTGATCCGCTGTGACCGAGGGACACAGCACACCGATCGCCGCGTGCTCCGGGAGCCGCACATGCGTGGTTAGAATGGGAGGACATCATATGACGTCCTCCCAGAACGAGAGAACCGCCTTGCGTCCGTCATATTACTATATAGCGGGCGGGAGGCGGTTAAAGAGGTGAGATCCACCTGAACAACATGGGAGAAGTCAGATCACCAGGCCCAGAGTCCCCTCCTCACACAACTGATTTAACCTCCCTAGCGGTATGATTATTTCAGATTTTTGGTGCTGAAAGCGATACCATTTTTTTGCATGGAAATATGTCGTTTTTTTATTGTAGGCCTGTAATTTTTAGGAATAACTCACTGAAATCTGTCCGAACAAGAGTCTAGTAAACATCCCGGGTAGGATAAAATTTGAAACAAAAAATCATAAATTATAATTTAATAAATAATCATAAAAAATAATATAATAATAATAATAATAATAAATGTAATTCAATACAATCAAACCAAAAACACTGAAATTTGAAATAGAGCGCCAAGTTCGCACATCACTGAGCAAAGTCGCAGAATCGTTTTCAGTGTCTGATGATGAATTTCCCCCACGAATCATCATCACTCAATTCTGCAAGTGGTTCTAATTTACTATCGCTGTTCTCTAGCTGGTCTAAAACCGATTTTGACCTAAAGGGACGCTTTTTGGACGCCATGGACGTTTCTCAGTTTCCAGGCACAAAGAACAGTCAAAATGCAGGCAGGGCACAGGACAAAGCAGAAGGAACAAAATGTATGTGAAATGGTTAGAAACAGCAATGTTTTGCTATGAAATAGTTTTTAAAAAAAAAATGTCATTTTTAAAAATGTTCAACTTTGCCGTCGGTTCCGGCGCCCGTACGTCCCGACGTCACAGGGACTGGAACACGGAAAACCGGATGCCGGCATCGGCCGGAGGAGATGGCCGGGGACGCATCGCGGGAGCGAAGGACAAGGTAAGCGCTGCAGGGAATCCCTGTGCAACGCTGCATGGTAAGCCCGAGTGTAGCTCTGGTTACCACTTTTGGTACTGAAACTCTACCCCGAGCTACACTCGGGAATACCGCCAGGGAGGTTAAATGTCTAATTTCAATACTACCGTGTCACAAATTACATGCATTTCACAGCAATCATGGGTTTAAGTCGGGTGGCGAGGAGGCAACATATTGCCTCCCCATTACCTGTCAAACACACTCCAGTCGCTTTTCAAAGTATTGAAACCACCCTCCTCCCGTCGGGGGGAGCCCTCCTCCAACCACCCTCCTCCCGTCGGGGGGAGCCCTCCTCCAACCACCCTCCTCCCGTCGGGGGGAGCCCTCCTCCAACCACCCTCCTCCCGTCGGGGGGAGCCCTCCTCCAACCACCCTCCTCCCGTCGGGGGGAGCCCTCTAGGGCTGCACCCCACAATTCTATTCACTTCCCCAACTGCCTGGTCACACCGATTTGCTCATTTGCATTCACCAGAAATAAGCACCCCCAAATCTTTCCTTCTGTATTCTAGTGAACACTGTTCCCCCAACATTCTACTCAGGATTATTTTCCCCTAAGGGCATGATTTTGAATTTAGTAACATTGAACTGCAGTTTTCACCACTTTGAGCAATCTTTTAGTAATGCCAAATCATGTTTCATGTTACAAACACCTCCTGGGATATCAACCCCAACACAGGCATTGCAGCCACCCCCAAGAATCCCTGACCTCAACAAATGCCCCAACACAAGCTGCCGCAGTATCAGACTGACAGGTGATAAATACGACCACCTGCCCGTGGTGCATTGTGGATATTGGAAGCATGCTTATCATGGCGAGTTATGGATCCATCTCAAGCATTAAAGAGATTGTTACAGCATGATGAATGTGGAGCCAGGCAGAGGAGTGCACTGATCCTGGGAAGGGAGGGGAGGGGGAGGGAACAAATGATTGCACCATTTAGGAGCCAACCTGTCCAATCCAGGAAGCCAGCTCCATTGACCACAAGCAGAGAAAACCACTCCAGCAGCATTCTATGGCCGAGGTGAACAGAAAGCAAGTATATCTGTTTTTTAGGACCTGATGCATTCAGCTCCAAGCAGAAGCAGGATGAGGTAAAGGACACACTGCACCCAATGTCTATTATCAGAAAGAACCCTTGAGAGGAACTTCAGCCAAAATTAAAACCAATATCCCATAAAAACAAACAAAAAAAAACCACCTTTTTGCAGGAATATTCATTATTATTCCCCCTCAGTACTAATTTTCCACCACTAGAGGTCTTTGGTATTCTGGGTTGCATGACAGCCAGCAACATTCAACCCACTTCCTCTGAGCCCAGGCTGTCATGGTCCCGCCCCCACCCCGTGAATGGACAGTGAAAGGAGAAGCAGTGGGATCGGATGTAGGTACGTACACTGCTTGCGCACACTTACACCAAGTCCAACTCCAGGAAGCCTAAAAAAAAGAAATATGTAAGTGGAGCTGCAAGAGTTCACACTCCTTTATCGGCGTCTCCAAACTATGGCCATAAGATTTTATCCAACCAACAGCTGATGCGCACAGCCTGAGGATATAGATCAGGTGATCTCTACTTGATGGGGACCAAGATGTAAGGGAGGGGGACCCTAACGAAGATTTTGCTGTAAGGGGGGCTCTGATGGGGACCCCAATTGTAAAGGGAGGGGACACTGAAGGGGTCCCTGATGTAAGGCAGGGGGACCCTTATGGGAACCTTGATGAACTCTCAGTTGTAAAGGGGGAGGGATGCCTAAGGAGGGCACTAATGGGTACCCTGATGTAAAGGAGGGGACTTCTAAGAGAGGCTCTGACAGGGACCCTGATGTAAGGAAGATGGATCCCTGGGGGAAACCACTAATGAAGACTCTGTAGTTAAGGTGGGGGGGAGATAGGACGACTCCTAAAGAGGGGCTCTGATGGGGATCCTGATGTAAAGGAGGGGGCTCCTAAGAGGGGCTCTGACAAGGCACTCTAAAGTGGGGGAGAACCCTGGTGTGGACCTGGATGAAGACTCTCGTGAAGAAAGGGGGGGGTACATCTAAGGGGGGCTCTGATGGGGGCACTGCTATAGGGGAGGGGATCCTGATGAACTCTTTTGCAAAGCAGGACCTCTGCAGACAGACCACTGCTTCCACCCAGAGCAAAGGCCACATTTTGTATGTTTGAGGACATCATTCTGGCACAAACCTGAATGGCATTCTGCTCAGCTGGAAAAGGGATCCCACCCCCCCAAAAAGATTTTTTGTGCAATTTAGAGAAAGCGGTGGGAGTGTGTGTGTGGGGGGGGGGGGGGGGGGGGGGGGGGAGAGAGATTAAACATTAGTAAAAGTTGTGCTTTCAGTAGAGGGGAGTCATTCCAGGGTCCCTTCCACATACACCAGTCACAGGACTGACCCCCATGTGGAAATGCTGGAGGCCTGGCAGTCACACTGAGCCTCTGCCTCTAAACCAGAACTCACTGACAGGACGGCGAGATGAGGAGGACTGGGAACTCCCCCGATCTGCACATTTCTTCCAGGTCACAGCAATGAATCAACAGGGACAGCTCCAGGCACACGGGGCCCCGGGCTTCCTCCAGAACCATTTATAGATGGTGTTCACAGTGACAGCGTATGTGTGGTAACCAATAGCAACCAGATGCCACATCACAGAGACCTGCACTGTACAAGATGAATTCTGATTGGATGAGAGAAGTTCAGCATTACACAACTATCACTGCTCTGCCAAACCAGAGAGGGGCCACACTATGCAACCGTGCACGGCCCAGGGGCCCCTCCTTACACCCACACAGAGCCCGGGGGCCACTATATACACATAGCACAGGGGCAATATAGATAGATATATACCCCTTGTAAAGTATGATACAGCACGCACACAGGGGGGGGCCCCCTATACACCGCACACTCACCGGAGGGGGGGGCCCCCTATACACAGCACACACTCACCGGAGGGGGGGGGGCCCCCTATACACAGCACACACTCACCGGAGGGGGGGGGGCCCCCTATACACAGCACACACTCACCGGAGGGGGGGGGGGGCCCCCTATACACAGCACACACTCACCGGAGGGGGGGGGCCCCTATACACAGCACACACTCACAGGGGGGCCCCCTATACACAGCACACACTCACAGGGGGGCCCCCCTATACACAGCACACACTCACAGGGGGGCCCCCCTATACACAGCACACACTCACAGGGGGGCCCCCCTATACACAGCACACACTCACAGGGGGCCCCCCTATACACAGCACACACTCACAGGGGGCCCCCCTATACACAGCACACACTCACAGGGGGGCCCCCCTATACACAGCACACACTCACAGGGGGGCCCCCCTATACACAGCACACACTCACAGGGGGGCCCCCCTATACACAGCACACACTCACAGGGGGGCCCCCTATACACAGCACACACTCACAGGGGGGCCCGATATACAGCAGAGGAGCCCCTATGAGGAATATATACTTGGGTGGGGGGTCAGGACGGTCGGGCTCCATGTATAGGGAGATGACACGGAGAACACAAGGGGGGGCGGGGTGATCGGTGTACCGGGAAGTCTCACTCCTCCTCCCGCAGGCACACGTGTCTGGGAGCTCCGCTCCGGCTGAGGGAGCACAGCTCGTCCAATGACCGGCCGGTTCCGGAGATGGATGAGCCGGCAGGGGACGGGCCGTAGAGGACACCTCGGGGTCACGGACGTACCTGACACCTGCACACCACATCGGCGTCCGTGGCCAGCAGGTCCACCACCTTCCCTTTGCCTTCGTCCCCCCACTGCGCTCCCAGGACCACGATGACCTTATTGCCCACATCGTGCCGGGGCCTCTTCTGTGTGCCGGGGGGGCTACGGTCGTTGGCGGCCGGGGTGCCGGACATGACCCAAGTCCTCGCTCAGTGACAGGCAGAGCAGGGGCCCACAAAGGCGGGAGAACTGGAGGAAATGAGCCAGGAACTGGGGGGCGGGGTCTCCGCTACAGCGAGGGAGGGGGCTCTGTCAAGGAGAGGGAGCAGGGGCGGAGCCGACGCAGGGAGGGAGGAGAGAAGCTGCTGTACGGGATATAGACAGTGGGAGGAGACCGCGCCGCTATAGAGGGAAGGGCGGAGCCAGAGAGAAGAACGGGTCCATTCAGGAGACATCGGAGGGGAGGAGTCAACGCCAAGAAAGTAGAGCGTTCTCCGTTATAGAGGGGAAGGGGCGGAGTCGTTCTTTGAGCGCACACGGGTCTCTGTCTTTCAGAAGACAGCAGTGGGGAGGAGTCAGCTCCAAACCCACATTGGCTGGAAGGAAAAGAAGCGGGGTAATGGTCCGGGGCATACAGGAGATAGCAGTGGGAGGAGTCAGCGGTTATATTCTAATGAATTGTAGTGAGAAGACTTATGACTGGGTGACTGAAGGACGTTGAGATAGCCGGGGAAGGGGGTGGAGGCCAGTGACGTCTATGCCGTAGAGGGAGTGGTCAACGCTATGTGGGAGGGGAGAGGGGCGGAGTCACCGGAGCAGGTGTCTAAGGTGTGCTCGGGTCGGGCAAGCCCGAGATGTCAGGAGAGCTCAGCGTAGTGCGGCGTCTTCTCTCTGCTCGTTGTGGCGCAGAGCGGGCGTTAGTCAGGCGTAACATAGGCGCCCATGAGCGCCACAATAGCCTGGGAGGAATGTAGGTTGCGGCTTGACCTCAGGATTCCAGGACTCATCCTGCTGCTGGGTGCACTCCCGGGAAGGGGAAGGTCTTAGGTAGTCACCCCCTAACCCCCCCCCCCCCCCCCCCATGACAAACCCTTAGGCTGGGGCTAGGCTCTGATGAAAAGTCAGCAATGCTCAGATCACTTTTCAGAGGTGACATTGCCTCACCTTCAGTTTTCACCCCATGATTGCTGCCCTAATGGCCGCAGCCCCATACATTGCATTGATTGCGGGGTGTTGGCAGCACTTCCATGTTCACTTGGATGGGCTGCGATCCACAGGCGTGCTGCCATGACACACGTGTAATAACCTGTTGCGTCCGTTCCAATTCAAAGTGTTACTAAACCCACAGCAGTGACACCAGTCTGTATATGCAGGAAGCATGTTTGGTATACTCATTGTGGAACCTAAGGGGTTAATCCTCTGCATTGTGTAAAAAAGGCTGTCTGATCCTGGCTTCTCTGATCCTCCCCTTCTTCCACTGTCTCCAATCCATCTGCTGATAGAACAGAGCCCTAGGAGTAACTGCACATGCTCAGTTTGGTGTGTATGGCTAGAGGTTTTTTTTTTTTCTTGGGAAAGTGCATGTGATCAGCACAGAGCCAATGAGCATTGTCTAGACAGAGGTCAGGGGTTCTGCATCCTCCTACAGTAAAATGAAAACTATAAGCTGCAACCTGTGCTCAGCTGGACACTGATAGAAGTCACAAGACTGTTCTAACTGCTGATGAGAAAATGTATTTAGCAGTTTATATTTACTAAAATAATTGCATTTCCATGTTCTGTGTACTGTGGGTGACCAGATATAGTGAATGTGTTGTCCGGGGTGACCAGATATAGTGAATGCAGGGTCCGGGGAGATCAGATATAGTGAACGCGGGGTCCGGGAGAGACCGGATACAGTGAACGCAGGGTCCGGGGAGAGCGGATATAGTGAATGCAGGGTCCGGGGGAGAGCGGATATAGTGAATGCAGGGTCCGGGAAGACCGGATATAGTGAATGCAGGGTCCAGGGAGACCGGTTATAGTGAATGCAGGGTCCGGGAAGAGCGGATATAGTGAATGCAGGATCTGGGGAGACCAGATATAGTGAATGCCGGGTCCTGTGAGACCAGATATAGTGAATGCAGGGTCCGGGGAGACCAGATATAGTGAATACAGGGTCCGGGGAGACCAGATATAGTGAATACAGGGTCCGGAGAGAGCAGATAAAGTGAATGCAGGATCTGGGGAGAGCAGACACAGTGAATGCCGGGTCCAGGGAGACCAGATATAGTGAATGCCGGGTCCTGGGAGACCAGATATAGTGAATGCAGGGTCCGGGGAGACCGGATATAGTGAATGCAGGGTCCGGGGAGAGCGGATATAGTGAATACAGGATCTGGGGAGAGCAGAAATAGTGAATGCCGGGTCCTGGGAGACCAGATATAGTGAATGCAGGGTCCTGGGAGACCGGATATAGTGAATGCAGGGTCCTGGGAGACCGGATATAGTGAATGCCGGGTCCTGGGAGGCCGGATATAGTGAATGCAGGGTCCGGGGAGACCGGGTATAGTGAATGCAGGGTCCGGGGAGACAGGATGTAGTGAATGCAGGGTCCGGGGAGACAGGATGTAGTGAATGCAGGGTCCGGGGAGAGCGGATGTAGTGAATGCAGGGTCCGGGGAGACCGGATATAGTGAATGCCGGGTCCGGGGAGACCGGATATAGTGGATGCGGGGACCGGGGAGACTGGATATAGTGAATGCGGGGTCCGGGGAGCGGGCAGACCGGATATAGTGAACGCGGGGTCCGGGGAGACCGGATATAGTGAACGCGGGGTCCGGGGAGACTGGATATAGTGAACGCGGGGTCCGGGGAGACCGGATATAGTGAACGCAGGGTCCGGGGAGAGTGGATATAGTGAATGCAGGGTCCGGGGAGCGGGCAGACTGGATATAGTGAACGCGGGGTCCGGGGAGACCGGATATAGTGAACGCGGGGTCCGGGGAGACTGGATATAGTGAATGCAGGGTCCGGGAAGAGCGGATATAGTGAATGCAGGGTCCGGGGAGACCGGATATAGTGAATGCAGGGTCCGGGGAGAGCGGATATAGTGAATGCAGGGTCCGGGGAGACCGGATATAGTGAATGCAGGGTCCGGGGAGAGCGGATATAGTGAACGCGGGGTCCGGGGAGACCGGATATAGTGAACGCGGGGTCCGGGGAGACCGGATATAGTGAACGCGGGGTCCGGGGAGACCGGATATAGTGAACGCGGGGTCCGGGGAGACCGGATATAGTGAACGCAGGGTCCGGGGAGAGCGGACATAGTGAATGCAGGGTCCGGGAAGACCGGATATAGTGAATGCAGGGTCCAGGGAGAGCGGATATAGTGAATGCAGGGTCCGGGGAGACCGGTTATAGTGAATGCAGGGTCCGGGAAGAGCGGATATAGTGAATGCAGGATCTGGGGAGACCAGATATAGTGAATGCCGGGTCCTGGGAGACCAGATATAGTGAATGCCGGGTCCTGGGAGACCAGATATAGTGAATGCAGGGTCCGGGGAGACCAGATATAGTGAATGCAGGGTCCGGGGAGAGCGGATATAGTGAATGCAGGATCTGGGGAGAGCAGACATAGTGAATGCCGGGTCCTGGGAGACCAGATATAGTGAATGCAGGGTCCTGGGAGACCGGATATAGTGAATGCAGGGTCCTGGGAGACCGGATATAGTGAATGCCGGGTCCTGGGAGGCCGGATATAGTGAATGCAGGGTCCGGGGAGATCAGATATAGTGAATGCAGGGTCCTGGGAGACCGGATATAGTGAATGCCGGGTCCTGGGAGGCCGGATATAGTGAATGCAGGGTCCGGGGAGACCAGATATAGTGAATGCCGGGTCCTGGGAGGCCGGATATAGTGAATGCAGGGTCCGGGGAGACCGGGTATAGTGAATGCAGGGTCCGGGGAGACAGGATATAGTGAATGCAGGGTCCGGGGAGAGCGGATGTAGTGAATGCAGGGTCCGGGGAGACCGGATATAGTGAATGCCGGGTCCGGGGAGACCGGATATAGTGGATGCGGGGACCGGGGAGACTGGATATAGTGAATGCGGGGTCCGGGGAGCGGGCAGACCGGATATAGTGAACGCGGGGTCCGGGGAGACCGGATATAGTGAACGCGGGGTCCGGGGAGACCGGATATAGTGAACGCGGGGTCCGGGGAGACCGGATATAGTGAACGCAGGGTCCGGGGAGACCGGTTATAGTGAATGCAGGGTCCGGGAAGAGCGGATATAGTGAATGCAGGGTCCGGGGAGACCAGATATAGTGAATGCAGGGTCCGGGGAGAGCGGATATAGTGAATGCAGGGTCCGGGAAGACCGGATATAGTGAATGCAGGGTCCGGGGAGAGCGGATATAGTGAATGCAGGGTCCGGGGAGACCGGTTATAGTGAATGCAGGGTCCGGGGAGAGCGGATATAGTGAATGCAGGGTCCGGGGTTTAGTAACATTTTCGGGTGATAATAGACAAGCGATTCTCCCATTAGAGACAAATCACCTGCAATAGGATCGCTAAAATGGCGACCTGGGCGTCCCTAAGAAATGGTTTCCTCTGCAGTGAGATGTCTCGATTTGAAGATTTCTCAGCGGCAGAGTCGCCCAAGCATCATCAGCCAAACCAGGAAAACATATAAATATTGGAAACATTGACATGACAAACACAGTCTTGTTTAGCAAACATCACAGTAATGACAGGAAAATGCTGATCTCCTGAAATCTGATATTAATTTTTAGCCCGGATTCAGACCGGGTGCGGCTTTGAAGTCACACTACTGCAGCACAGCTTCATCCACAGATGTCAATGCGTCACACATGCAGTCACACAATAGTGAAGGAACCTTTTTCAAAGTCGCTGCAACTCAAATCACACCGACTTGTGCAGCTCCACAGCAGCAAATAGAGTGCAACTTGTCATGTGACTTTGATCTGTCAATCACAGCCGGAGTGAACGGGGCCTAGTTTGCACTAATGTTAGCCTTCTGAAGAGCAATCCACAGTTGATAGTTTTTTACAGGATATTTGACAATCGATGAGGAAGAGACATAGTACCTCCTCTCCACCTGTCAAACAGACCCTAAAAAAAAGTGATCTGTCACAGATCACTCTTCAGAGGGTTAACACTATATTAAGTATACGACCCAAACTTTGGGTGG